ATATAATATAAGAAAAATTTACAATACAGTAAAATTTGGGAATTTTTTTGAGAAATATCATTAAAAATATTTGAAATTGAAACTATTTGAAAATAATAAATAATTATAAACTGTAAATTAATATTAAGTCAACGGAATGTATAAAAGCAGTTAACAATAATTATGAGTTTATTGAGTAGGATGTACTAATTTAATTTATGTGTACTTACAACAGGGTATTTTTTCAAAATTGGTATTTCTACGTGGTACATATTCCTTTGGCCTGCCTCGATCGGACAGGTAGTTGACAAGCAGGCATTAGAATCCATTCCCAAAAATGGAATATCCATTACCTCACTTGCCCAAAATATTCGACCTTGCATTTCCTCCGACGAAAAAGCTATAAGGAAGCACACTTTTAGTACCTATTTTTCCATCATCAATATAAATATAATATTGAACGCTAATATATCATATTGAACCTATATATCATTACTGCTACAGCTATAAAATAGCATATTTCTAATATTTATTCTTTCATCAATATAAATATTATATTAAACGCTAATTACCTATATATCATTATTACTACATTCAAAATAAAAACAGAAGCAAATTAACATATATAATTTTTTGTTCTGTGTCGTAATAAATGAATTCACGTGAAAAATAAACCTTGACAATATTTTTGAATTTTTATAATAATTACGCATTCTAATATCGTATAAGGTTCACGTTATCGTGGAATCAGTATTATAAAAGAAGGTAGTACAGTCAAATTGTACTATGTGTGCATTGTAGTCGATTATGCAAATTATGATTATAAAAATGACCGATTATTCGAATTCAGGGCGAATCACATAACTAGTCTACAACTATTCTTTTAAATACTCAACCAAAAAGGCAAAATTCAAAATCACTTTAAGCAAATAAAGACATAATTTACTTGTCTTATTTGTCAAATTTATTTGCAAAAAATAATTTGTCTTATAAACAAATAAATTATTTCAAAAAATTATTTTAACGTCACATGTTTTCTTTAATACCAATTGCAATTTCAGCAATTTCAGTATAAAATATTTTTTTTTTGAGGAACACAAACTTCAGAGATTGCTTATTGTGGGTGAGTTATATGATTCACACTGAATTCGAATAATTGGTCATTTGAAATAAAATACATGACACAAAATTGTCAAATGCTATTTTTAATATTTATTTTTCAAATAATATAATACTTACCAGGTGTATAGTGGAATGTCATATTTCCAGTAATTCCTCTTTTTATCTTACATGGTTTCCCTTCTGCAACTTCTTTGCAGGGATCTATGTATACTTCGTGAATGGTACACTTACTCGTGATATTGGCTGTGAAAAGAGCATAGTTTCTTACGATTAAATATATTTCACGGTGTAATCAATTTTATAATTTATGTATTTAACTATACACAATAACTACATATCATGTTACTATTATTACTATTATTACTATTACCACTATTATATTACTGTTACTATTATTACTACTATTATATTACTGTTACTATTATTACTACTATTATATTACTATTACTACTATTATATTACTATTACTACTATTATATTACTATTTCTACTATTATATTACTACTACTACTACTATTTTTCTATTACTGTTCTATCGATATTCAGCTACTATACGAGTATTATGTTTATTATTTGAATACTGTTGATGATTGTGCAACTACTATTCAACTCTTTTTCGACTACTACTCGTTTACTATTAGAAAACTACTTAACTACTTTTGGTTACTATTCAGCTACTATTCAATAATTATCAACTATTATTCAACTATTCAGCTATTGTACTATTGCTGTTTGGCTGTTGATTACATATTATAGACTACCATTTAATTTTTCCACTGTCCCAATGTTCTATTACTATTGCAGAAGCATATTTTCTTTATTAGTATAGTATGAAATGGGCATAATATGCCTGAATAATTTGCTCGTAATATTAACCCTTTGCACTCGGCGAATTTTTCGTTACAGGAAAATAGTAATTCGAAGACTTCCTGCCATAGAGTTGACGACATTTATAAAACAGTAAATAAGAAATCGTATGCAAATTAAGACGTAGAATTATTTTATTTCGGCATTACACGCATCGTTGAATAATTTTAAATTTGATATATTAATTAACATCGAATTAGGTTTTGATTAAATGGCGACTGAGGGTCACCCCTTGAGTGCGAAGGGTTAAAGAAGAAATGTAGGAAACTAGCTGCCAATACCAGTGTCAGAAAAGTTCCAGAAATGTATAATATTAACCCTTTGCACTCGGGAGGCTCCCTTCAGTCGCCATTTGATAAAATTTCGAAGCTCGATATTCATTAATATGTCAAACTTCGGGTAATGTAACGGTGCGCGAGGTATCAAAATCAAATAATTCTACGTGTTAATTATCATACGACTTCTTATTCACTGCTGAGAAAAATATCGTCAGCTTTGTAACAGAAAATCTTTGAACTCCTATTCTTCTTTAGCCAAAAAATCGCCGAGTGCAAAGGGTTAGGAGTATATAGTTAATGACATTAGATGAGAAGGAAATGTAAATAATTCGATGCAAAAGTAGAATATAAATATTCTACAACATATTAAGAAACTGTGTAATTTAATAGAAAAATAGGAAAAATTTGATCAATGTTGATAACGTTATATTTTGCAAAAAAAGAAAGAAAAATAATTACTCTGGGTATAATTTCTGTTCTTATTAGGAGACTATAAAGTAACTACGAGTATTATTAGATTCTGTTGTCCTATTACATAATCACAATACCGAAAAATTTATCTTTGAATTAGTAATTTATATTATAATATATTTTAATATATTATATTATATATATAATATAATTTATGTAATTACAGAAAGATGAGAGAATAAGTTAAACATTTAATTCATAAGTAGTTCATCTTATTTAAAAAAATGATCAATGAAACAATTTTCCAATTACAAAATTTTTCATTAAAACTCGAAGAAGTAGAAAAATTTATATATCCTCGTCATCTCATATATTAACACATTGTTGACCGATGACGAGTTAACTCGTCATTGCACTTGCATTATCTATTTCAATCTATGAAACCCAGGATGATATAGAATATTGCGTGTGAAAGTGATTTTGAAGATTGGATTACAAAATAATAGCCAGTGACATGACATAGTTTCTGTGTAAAATTGCCAGTCAACAAAGTATATATAATAAAATATACTATTATTTACTATTAATATACTATTATATATATTGAATATACTATTATTACTTAAGTATATATATATTAAAATATACTATTAATCTATTATTAAATTGTCATATGCTTAAATATAAAAGGCCATATACATCCAAGATTAACTGGTTAGTGATATGTATGTTATGTCTATAAATAATTTTTGCTGATTATCACATCTCTTCCTGTTGCACAAATGATAGCTGCACACGTGATGTAGTCGAGAAATTTGATATAGGCCTATGTTCACACCTATAATACTGTTGCTTACAAATTATGCGATGAAACTTAAGTATCATTAATAATAAAAATAAGAAACGTAAAGTACGGGAGTAATACATTGTAACTGTATATATGAATAATTATATACATCACTGTGATTAATAATAACCACAATAACATGTGGTTTCATAACCTCGAAATATGTAATAATAACTTCTAACATGACTTTGGTATTTTTATATATTGCATTATATTTTTATTTCTATAGTATGAATTGCAAGTAAGTAATATAATTTAGTATAAATATATATTACAGAGCATTTAATTTCATTCCATATTTTAGAGTCTTTTAGAATCTTTAGGAAACAGAATATATTTAAGGGAGTTTACAAAAATGTGCTTTGTAGTGGTTTGATATTTATTTGGCATTGCATTATTGTAATATTATTATCGTAATATTATGTTACAGAGAATTTAATTTCATTCCATATTTTAAAGTCTTTTAGAATCTTCAGAAAACAATATATTTAAGGCAGTTTACAAAAATGTGCTTTGTAGTGGCTTGATATTTATTTCGCACTGCACTATCGTAATATTATATTGAAGTATGTAATGGATTAAGGTTAAAATACATATTGCAATTTTTTATGTGGAACAAAACAAAATATAAAAATTATTAATTGTAAAGCTATAGTGTAATAAAGTTTTAACACTGTGGTTGCTGATAACATTTTAAATCAAAATTAATTTCAATGTTAATGCTTCTAATTTACAGAGAAGTTCATCATTTTCTGATAAAAATTGAGTTAATTATCAATTATTTATTAATATTATATATGTTACTAATTAGCATTAAAAAATTAGAATTTTTAAATACCATACTATTATAGATAACAGAACAAAAAAATTCTTTCTTGAAATTATGAAGAAGTTATTAAAATGCATTGTAATTTAATGTATTTCTCGTTTAGAAATTTAACGTAAAAGATTATTATATAAAATAGATTATTCTTTATTAGTAATAAATAATAAATTATAATGGATAATACATTTAATAAATATCTAAAATGAAGAATTATGAAATATCTTTAATAATATAATTCACGATTGTAAAATTGCTGAAATAATAAAATATGAAATATTTTTAGTTGAATATTAAAAAATTTGAAATAATCCTATATATAAATAACTATAGTTCAAGTAATTGATGTAAATACTATAAAGTAAAAGAATTTTCTGCCTACTATGTTATGCAAAATATTTAGAAACTGTAAATGAATCACTTTGAATTAAAAAATTTCATTTAATAGTAATTGAGCATGATGCTTCTCAAGCAGCATACGCGTAATAAATTCATTGCGTTACAAACTTATCAAGACAACCGTTACTCGTTGATACTTTTACACGTTTTATCACTGTGCTACGAGGGTGATGTCTTCTTGTATTTTTTAGTCAATGAATATTTCCTTGATACTTGAATGATAAATGCATTTATACAACATATTGTTATGTTATTAAATATTTTGGTAGAATTTATGACATAATTAATTAGAAACTTATTCAGTATGTAGATAATTAAAGCTATATATTATTGGCAATTACTGAAATTGAAATATGGCTACTTAATTAACCGACTACTTTTCCTTATATTTCAATAGTATATACGTATATTTAAAAATATATTTAAAAATATAATTATATTAAAGAAAATTATATTCAATAATGTAACTTAATATTTTAATATTTCTTGAATAGGTAATAAATAATAATTGTAATGTAATAGAATAGTAAATAGAACCATTAGACATCAAAGTTGAAGAGTAAATAAATATTTTCCAAGAGAAATTAATATAAAATTTTCTAAATGAAAATGTATGCAATTTTTCTTATTATTTAAGATAACAAATTTTATAGAAACTAAGAAAAATATAATACTTGAATACATAATTCCTATTTACACATCTTCATTTATTATTAAATTAGAAAATTTGAACGAACTTCATTGATAATAAATTTGCACATTATTTTTTAATTTAAAATTTAAATAAATAAAATCTCTCATTTATAAATAAGTAATATATTGTATTGTATGTATATGTAATATATTTATGTCAACTATCAATTTAATGCAATAGTAATAAAATTCTATTGTTCCAAAAAGATTGATTTATTAATTCTCAGTATCATCAAGCATTATATATAATAATATTAATTTGGCATACTACTCCATTACTTTACATAATCAATAAACTTTTCTTGAAGACAGATAGTAAGCAATTCATTCATTAAAATTAGAAAGCATTGCACGTGCAATCTTCGAACCTTGAGTATTTGTCATGTTAGATGTAAAACAAGATTCTGTGCTTGTAACTTACAATCCACGTTAGTATTTCAGATTAAAGTATCTTGGTTATCTCTACTTTGTATCTTGAAAATTTAATTAATCATTTAATCTTCCTCTTTTTAGATATATGTATGTCAGAAAACAATTATCTTTATATGAAATTGTAGCTTAATAAGAATTACAATAAATAATGTAACTTAAAAATCTAATTTCATGACAACTTAGATCAATTTATGTTTTTATTAGACTAAATTCCTATTTTTTAAATAAATCTTTTTACTTTATATTTTACACATTTTTCTTTACAATCTATGGCAAGAGACATTTGACACTGCAATTCTCTTTACTGTATAATTATAATAATAATTTAGATTGAAAGTTTACTTAGTATGATATATACTCTAATTCACGCGGATTTTTAAATTTCTACTATAAAAAGGTAGAGATCGTTTGAAGTCAGTAATTGGAAGAGTATACATATGCGTTTCACTATACTTGCTCAGCTTCAAACAGTATCCCCAAACCAACAAATCAACATAAGAGTCCACAAAAATGATTAAAAATTGATTCACCTCGTGATATCAACGTCACATAAATCCAACAATGTCATTGAGGATCTTGGAAACAGTTAACAAAATTGATCTACAGTACTTCTCTCATCTAACCCTAACATCACATGGACCCAACTGTTGCGTTAATAACTCCTCAAAATGATCAGAAATTAATTATTACATTTCCTTGACGTAATTGCCATGTCATATAAACCTGTCACATCAAGATCCCGCAAAAATTGATTCATCACACTTCTCTATGTGACATGAGCGTCACGTAGAACAGTGAACCAAGAGTAGCGAAGTGTCAGCACAAACATCGAGTAACATTCGGCAACGAATAGTATCGAGATTTATCGAAGCGATTTACCCAACAATTGGACCATGTCACACCTGACACTGATCACTGTTCGAATAATCGAACGACCGATACTCACGATCAGGGTAAACACATTCCCGCCACGGCACGAGTTCCGCGTAGGCCATGGACAAGGCCAGGAACAGGATGGCAAAGAGGAACACACTGTCTCGGTTCATCCTCGATGGACGGTCGTTGCGAAGTGAACGAAAGACGACCACGGTTTGCTAACAGAAGGCTGCACGTCGTGCGAGGGGAGGTCACGGAGTGGGGCCATAGGTCAATTGAAATTGTATCATAGTCGCGAGGAAGATGTACGAGCCTGGGCTGCCTCCTTATGATAATTCCTCGTTGCTATCGCGTTGTGCTCTTGTCCCGTTAATTAGTCAAATTAAATAATATATAATAAGTAAATAAATAAAGTAATACTGCAGAAACGTGGAATATACGAATAAGGACTGTTATCTCGTTCATTGGTCGAATTAAATAATAAATAATCAGTAAATAAATAAAATAATATTGCAGAAATCTTGAGTATGCGAATGAGGACTGTTATCTCGTTGATTGGTCGAATTAAATAATAAATAATCAGTAAATAAATAAAATAATATTGCAGAAATCTGGAGTATACGAATGAGGACTG